TATATTTCGTATTACCTACCCCCGTGATGAAGCGTGCTGATAAGGCTTGAAAATTCTAAGTGAGGCGTTTTGTGTATTAGACAGTTAATGGTTGCCTACGTATGAAATCGCGGTCTTTTAGAACACCAGATGAAACGACAGGGGGCAGAGTAAAGTAGAAAAGTTTATATTGCGGATTATTTTATAATTAAATAAATTAAATTAAAAGTATGAATGTGCGATGAATTGGTGGTGTGGTATAGTGTATGGATGGCAAAGGCTCAACAGGTAGGGAATTTGCTCCGCAACCTTTGTGTTTCCTACGGGGTTCACCTGTAATTCAGTTAGTACCAGGAACCCCTGGGGTCACGAAGCCTGTGACTGTCAAGATCTGAAATAACCGGAGGACCATACACATTTACCGCCCCCAACACCGCAGACCGTGCAGTGTCGAATGATCTCATGAGACAGGAATTTGAAAGGCTATAGCAGGACGTGGTCATGGGCTAATTGAGGTAGTATTTTGGAATTTATCTGGAGAGACTGAGGAAACCCACGAAAAACCTCAGGCTATCCCGTGTTCCATCCAAGATTCCTAACGAGATTCTCGGTAAAGGTAAAGGTAAAATTGTCCCTGTGCGTAACTAATTAAGCATTACGCCATGAAGACGTATGGGGACGTGGATGTATAAATCCACATTTTCTTGACCTCAGCACTAGTTGGATTGGTCACCTTCACGACCCGGCCACTGTAGCCAGGGGAAAGGGCCCCGGTGCACATTGGACAGAATGCTGGGTGGACCCCAGAGTCGGTCTGGACAATGAAAAGAGAAAAACATTGACCCTACCGGGACTCAAACTCCGACCTGTTGGTCGTCCAGCCCGCAGCCAGTCGCTATACCGACTGCAATACAAGTCATATATAGACCATCCTGTTACATTTGAACGAAGAAACACTGAGGAGAATATAAATAACCATCTCTGACTTTTCAAATTCAGTTACATTTAATGGTAAAGATTATGGTGTTCTTGTAGTCTGGTAGATATGTAAATACCAATGTATTGAAGAAATCTGCTGTTATTCTTCCGGGCATAACAGACGAGTCGTTGAATGCATTCCAGAACCCTGTATTTTTGGCTCGAAACAACATTTCGTCGTAAATAGTGGTAAGGGGCGTGGCTTGTATCTGGAAGATACCCGGTTTAAATCTTGGCCAAACAATCAGCTATTTCAAGGTTCCTAGTAAAATAGTTGACGATCAGTCCCCCTCTCATTCCATACATCTCAGTTCAACGATAACTAGTTGATATACAAACTCTGTGGCCTGTAGTCCGCAAGCGAAGTATACCGACCGAGCGACCGCCGATTGTCGGCGAAGTTAGTGCCAACTTTAGCGGATAGAGGGTGTCGCGTGGTCACTGCAGCGAATCCCCACGGCCGTTAATCTCGGTTTTCTAGACCGGAGCCGCTATTGACTTGAAATAGCTCCTTAATTATCCTCACGAGGCTGAGTGGACCCGGTTCCAGACCCACTACTTCTCAGAAAATCTGGTAGCGCCGGGAATCGAACCCTGACCTCTGGATCTCTAGCCAGGAACTCTGACCGCTAGACCACAGAGGCGGTCAACCAGTTGATACAGTGATGTTAAATTAACTCTTACCCGGCAAACGGTCTTAAAACAAAAATAAGAAAATGTTCATGTCTGTCATTTCCAGCCATTCATTCATGAAGATTAAGAGATGTGATTTTAATTTCCGAAAATCGAGGGAATATGGAGTTGTCTTGTGGTTAGTGTGTTGGGCTGGAAAATTGCTTTGANACACTATGCCATGAAGACATATGGGGGAGTAGAGGTATAGCTCCACTTTTTTTTTAACCCCGGTACTAGATGGAGGTGAGTGGTCAGCTTAATGCCCTGCTGCTTTACCCTCTGGGAAAAGAGCTGCCGATACCCATTGGAAAGGAGCTGGGTGGGCCCCAGAGTCGGTCTGTACGCTGTTATGTAGAGAAAAATCTTTTGCCCCAAACCGAGAATCGAACCCCAGCCATCCAGCCCATATCCAGTCACTGTACTAATTAAGCTATCCCGGCTCTTAGCTATATACGCATTTGTACATATTTATGTAGCATATTTATTTATGTGCATATTTATGTGCATATCATATATTTATGTGCATATTTATGTGCAGATATTACATATGTACAAACGTAGACAACAAGCGTCATATACATAAAGAGGCTTCCGAAACGGAAAGCTCCGTATAACGCCACGCTATGGAGTCGTAAAGACGGCATGGAGGAAAGGCTCCACAAATATTATACTGGCACTGGCAGACGAGTCATTACGTTCACGATCCGGCAACTTTGGCCCCAAGGAAAAGGCGCCAGTACCCACTGGCTAGGGGGCTCGGTGGACTCCACAGCTAGACGTGGTGGGAAGAAAATAAAATGTCACGGCTCCTGTCGGATATCGAACCCAGGTCGCCCAGCTCACTTTCATTGTCTTTACAGGCAGCGGTACTTAGGCTCAGAACAAGCTCTGTAAAAATGACAAAATATCACTCAAACGAAAGTGTGAACAGTTAACAATAATGTGTTTTGGTTAATGAGTCCGTTGTCACCACTGCACGGGCGTTCGCAGTTGTGATAGGGGCAACGGCCTTCAGATGCGAAAGGCGACTGCAATGTAGAAGAGGTCATGCGTCTCAAAAGGCACTCCGCCTATATGCCACTATACCCTGGTCTGAGAGGATTCACACAATTCCTTTAAAAAAAACGCAGTTGTCTAACATCAGTGTGACATCGGCTTCCCCATTATCCTGATGAAGGGTTAGACATATCTACTTATGTAGGTTCATGCGTGCTCAATGACGTACGCATTAAATATGGGACAGCAAATCTTCCGACTGCCACGCCCCAAATTTTTCCTTTCTCTGCAGTGGTGATTGGCTTTTACCGTCATCTGACTGCAGGTGCCAGTGAGGGCCCGCGATTACGGACAGCCACAGGTCTGGTGAGAACAGCAAGTGCCTCATTTCGGAGAATTTATGTTATCTGTCTTCCTGTTGCTCCCACTTGGAACATAGAACATCCGTGAAACCCTTCAATCTCTGTTTTCTAGACTGGAGTCGCTATTTTTCCATTCAAGAACTCCTCAATTATCCTCACGTGGCTGGACCCCGTTCCAGACCCACTACTTCTCGGAAATCGAACCCAGGATCTCTGATCTGTAGCCAGGAACTCTCAACACTAGACCACAGAGGCGGTTACGCGTTAGGTGCGTGTATGAAGAAAAGGGACACAGCAACACTGGATTCGCCATATCAGACACAGTCTCCACGTACAACTGCAGACGGCAAAATTTCGAGCTGCTCAGCATTTCCGGTTAAAATCAGAATTAAGACGATTCACGTTAATAAGTAGGCTGTAATAGCTTAAGTCAGTAATTTGTTGTGACTAGGCTACGGCGATGTACGACCAGGGTTCGATTCCAGCGAAGGGCAGGGATTTTTCTCTTTACCACCTTTATCAGATCGCCTCCGGGGCCCATTCAGCCACCTACCAAACGGGAACTCTTTCCCCAGGGGTGAAGTGGCCGAGGCATGAAGCTACCCACCCATTGTGCTTAATTGCGTATAAGGAAACTTTACTACTACGTATAAACGTTTCCTAACTGTCCACAGAGGAACTGTTACATGAAGTAGGGCGGACAGTCAACGAATTTCACAGAATTTGTTAAGATCATCTCGAAAACCAAATTCCCTAAGAGATTTCAGAATCTTGAGTCGAGTATTAACGAGTGTCCAGCTCCTCTTGCCCGACTTCCATATAACATAGTTAACGGGGATTTATTAAACCTTACGGATAACGTCCGTTGAAAATACTTTTATTCCGACTTTTAAGAAATAGGAAAGCTGGTTCTGAAGTTATGCGGGGGAAACACGCATGGATAGGCCTACATTAACAGAACACATGGCTCTAATCATCCTGTACAGAAATGGTCTGCAATATTCCGCCATCTTTCACTGCGTGGTGGCTAATAGTATCACTCCCTCATGGAGCTGAGCCCTTCTTGAGATGCCGCCAATTGCGCAGCTACTCAAGAGCTTCTCAGCATTTTATGGAACCCGAAGGTTCATTACTGTGTTCACAAAAGCCCTACACTGGTCCCTATCCTGAGCCAGATCAACCCAATTCATACCATTTCATTCTATCTCTCTAAGATCCATTTTAATATTGTCCACCCACCTACGCCTTGGTCTTCCCTGTGGTCTCTTTACGTCTGGATTTCCCACCAATATCCTATATGTATTCCTCTTATCTTCCATTCGTGCTACATGCCCTGCCCATCTCATCCTCGACTTGATCATTCGAATTATACTTGAAGAAGAGTACAAGTTATGAAGCTCCTCATTACGCAGTTTTCTCTAACCTCCTGTCACTTCATCTCTCTTTGGTCCAAATATTCTCAACGCCCTGTTCTCAAACACCCTCAGTCTATGTTCCTCCCTTGATGTCAGAGACCAAGTTTCATATCCATACAGAACCACAGGCAAAATTATAGTTTTCTATATTCTAATTTTTATGTTTTTGAACAACAGACGAGAATACAAGGGGTTCTGGACTGAATGGTAACAAGGATTACCATAATTCAATCTCCTTTTAATTTCCTACGAAATCAAATTTTGATTTGATGTCGTTCCCAAATATCTGTTACCTATCTTTATGTCATGATTTTGCCCTACATTCTGGTGACGAGACAGCAACATATACTTAGTTTTCTCTGCAGCTAACAATATAGATCTTTTCTTTTGCATTGTGAACATGCAACTAAACTTTCAAAATTTTTAAATTCTGGCATCATTGCTACGCTTCTGTATTTGTTACTGACCCATGACTGGATAATTTGAGTCTCGTGTTTTGGCAGCATTCCACAGTACATACCCATGCATGGAGGTTACGAATTCTCCATACACATTCCCTCACGAGCCCATCCAAGCAATAACGGCAGTGACTTACCTTCGTAACACTCCAGGTCGTCGGAAGTTCTACGGTCCTTCAATTGGCACGGCAGTCACAGCGTAATCATCAGCTTCCCAAAGCACATTCTTTTGTGGATCAGCCACATCCCAGCCCACTTTCGTCACCACACTTCATCACTGTAGAGCTATAAACTGACACTTCGTGAGCCGACTACTGCTCTTCCTAGCTCCTATGGCGAAACTAAACTAAAAAGAGTTCTATCCACACGAATAACATCTCATGAAGACAATTTTATCTGATTACCTGCCAAATATTTTAATTGATAATTAAACTTTTGGTCTTGACGTAAGTTTGTAGCGGGAGATGATTGATTAACTCCCGAACATAGAGATATGATCACCCACGATGTCAGAAGCACAGTACGTTACACGGAGCACCGTTACACAATCATTCATCTTTCCTATAACAATTCAGTCCTCTCGTAATAATCGTGGATCTCAGCTCTGATCAGGTCCCACTTCTCAACGCACTTCTTAAAACTTCTAAATTCACAATTTTCAGACTCTCAGTGACATTAGAGAGGGACACACAACCACCTCACAAACTCTCACGCACTGCACTAGGAGGCACTGTATCTGAATGAATGAGAGACAGCGAAGAAATCAAAGTAGACCTGTTATGAAGGCGTTTTCAAAGAGGTCATACCTACGCAGAAGACTATGAAGCTGTTCTTGGCACACAAATTATACAAATATGGGCGATGTAGAAGAGCAATAATTTTGGACAACTGGATAATCATATTATTAAAATTACAATACTTTAAGTTAATCACGTATGGTATTATCATTACTTTCATAACCACACTTCCTTTATTTCACCACGTCTTTCAATTATGTCTTCTCAGCGCATTTCAATCCATAACCAAATACTCGTCACCAGTACTGTGGAACCTTGTCATTAGACTTCACGCCGAACACCGCATGATAACGAACTTACTACACTTCGACCAAAAGCCTGTCTCGCCTCACTGAAGCCAGGCGCAGGTCTGACAGTAGCGGGCACGGATCACTGAAGGTGAGCGTTCGGAGTGCATCTTCCCCTGCGGCGAAATCTGCTTGCATAGTCGCGGTTACAGATAGTTGGTCCGACCTTGCCACACTAACAGTCCACCACTTGTTGCAGTCTATACGCCTGTATGCGAATATCCGTGCTTAGCTGTTCTTGGTGCTGATTCCGAAGTAGAAAGTGTGTCTTTGGACGGAATGAAGAGATACACGTACATAGTTCTGTAACGCAAGAAATGTTCAGAGGTAAGAAGATAATTGTAAAAACAAGAAAGAAATGTATTCGAGACACTTTTTTTTTCCTTGGCACTACAGCCCCAGTGGGCCTAGACCTACCTCCATGAACTTCTCCGTTCACTTCAGCTTTTCTAGATCTTACACATTCGGTAGGACTCCTTGGGCGGGTGATCAGCTCGTCGCAAGGCCTCTACCTGTACACAAACACAAAAAACGCACACAAACATCCATGCCCTGAGTGGGATTCGAACCCACGATCCCGGCTTCCGAGTGAGCGAAGACAGTGCATGCCTTAGACCGCTCGGCTACCGTGACCGGCTAACTTTACCTTTACCAGTGCCTAAAACAGTCGTGATTCATTATTTGGGATCTGAATAAGGGCCTTGCTTGGAACGAGTTTCCTAATTTCGTTGTGCGAAAATGTCTCAGAAAGAGACACGAAAACGCTGTTGATTCATTTGGCTATCGGCTGACATCCATTCAGTACATCTGGTTGGCAGCTGAAGCAACAAACTGCGTTTGTGGTCCGAAATTATATACACGTATGTTTTATGTTTCGCGTATTTAACTGAGATAACGTTTCTTTATTTCACAGAACCCGCATAAGAAATGAACTATTCGAAAGCCATCCAATATGGCTTTAAAAATACTAGCCAACTTTTAAAAAACTAATATTCTGGAATGATTTAGGGGCAACGAGTGGAGGTAAATTTTGGTTGTGTGGCACAGACCCACTTTAAGCAGCAGCATCGCATTTGGTGAATCTCAAACCGCGGGAATTGATTCAGGGATCCTGTCGCATAAATAAGATACTTGATCAGAGGAATACAAACAAACTCTGTGGTTTCAGTCCGCAAGAGAACTATACCGACTGAGCGACCGCCGCTTGTCGGCGAAGTTAGTGCCAACTTTTGCGGATAGAGGGTGTCACGTGATCAGAGCAACGGATCCCCACGGCCGTTAATCTCGGTTTTCTAGACCGGAGCCGCTATTTCCTTGAAATAGCTCCTGAATTANATCTTAATAGTGTGCATCCTGTTGTGTGTTATGAACAAGATATACAAAAGTATATAAAGTATGCAGTCTACATAACAATATCCTGTATTTAAAACAAAGAAGACACTATTGTATCAACATTTGTTGTTATTATGTTTTTACAGACGCAACATGTTTCGACCCTTACACCGGGTCATCATCAGGCGTACATGCTCCACTTTCAGCTGTTGAATTGAAATTAATTATTATCTAGTTCTTCAAATAGGGGGATCCTTATTGTGTCTTGAAATTATTTAACTGCATAAATTCATATGTTAAAGTCTTCGTCAAAATTTTAAAAATTGAAAATCCATGGATAATAAAATTTAAAATCAAAGATATAAAGATTAAAATTAGAAACTAAAGATTAAGACTTGAAAGTTAAAATTGCGTTTTTGAGGTAAGACTCTGTGACCGCTGTCTTAATCTGGTTTTATGCCGGTAGAAGCGGCTGTAGCGTGGGGCGCCCGCGTATCGGGATTTTCTCGCATGGGATAGGTCGTGTGGTCGTGTCCTTATGGAGCTCCTCACTTATCCTCACGAGGCCCAGTGGACCCCGTTCCAGACACATTATTTCTCAGAAAAGATCTTGTAGCGCCGGGAATCGAACCAAGACCTCTGGATCTGTAGCCAGGAACTCTGACCACTAGACCATAGAGCCGATCTGAGCAGAGGAATATCGAATCGATTTCTATAATTTGTTAGTAGGCCCTACAACAATAAGCGAACTTCTGATGTTTTAGCCAGTGCAAATCAGCGGAAATTCCTTCTGTAGACTGAACACTTGTTTACGGTAGCCTGGATAGCTCAGGCGGTATGCCGACTGGGTCGGAGTTTGAGTCCCGGTAGCGGTTAGATTTGTCTCCATTCCACGTTGTCCAGACCGGTTCTGGGGCCCACCCAGCCTCCTGTCCATTGGGTACCGGGAACCCTTTCCCCGGGCATAAAGCGGCCGGGGCGTGAAGCTCGTCACTCACCTCCAACTGCTACCGAGGTCAAGAAATCGTGGATCTATACATCCGCTCTCCCATACGTCTTCGTGGCGTAGTGCTTAATTAATTACGTACAAGGACAACTTTATGCACACCAGCTTCGGCTAAAAGAACATGCTGTAAATAAGTTGTCTCGAATAATATGTGAACCACTGTCTAACGAAATCCATTGAACAGAGAATTCTTAACTTGTCAATTGCTCCTCTTATACTGAACCCGAATGTACGGTGCTATGCTCATAAGGGCCCGCCACTATTCCCCCCACCCCCAACCCGTTTCCTGGGCCTGGCAGCCTTGAGGCACGAAGACTGATTTGTGACGTGCAGATGGTAACCACACTTTTCTCTCTTTACCACAAAATTATTGTACACTCGATACAAATTAGACGGGAGGCTATAGTGCTGCTACAAACCTGTCTGTGAGAGAAGTAATGTACTATTCTTAAACGTTATAATCTAATTCAGCATGAAAGATAATGTTGATAGATAATTTGTACCAGAAAAACAAGAGAAAACTATACACTGTAACACAATTTTCACAGCGACGCTGGTGCCGGGATGGCTTAGTCAGTGTAGTGTCTTCTTACTTCCTAAGGAGGATGAGGTGGGCAGGGCATGTAACACGAATGGGGGAGACGAGGAATACATATAGGATATTAGTGGTAAAGCCAGAAGGAAAGAGACCACTGGGAAGACCAAGGTGTAAGTGGGTGGACAATATTAATTTGGATCTCAGAGAGATAGGATGGGATGGTATGGACTGGATTTATCTGGCTAAGGATAGGGACCAGTGGAGGGCTCTTGTCAACACGGTAATGAACCTTCGGGTTCCATAAAATGCTGGGAAATTCTTGAGCAGCTGCAGAATTGGCGGCTCCTCCAGAAGGGCTCAGCTCCATGAGTAAGTACGGGTAAATAAGCAAACGACAGAGGTTCAGGTTCTAACAGAGGAAGGGATTTCTGTATTTGCCACAACGTCCAGACGGGCCTTGAAACCCACATAGCGCCTGTCCAGTGGGTAACTAAGACGCTATTCGTTGGGGGTAAAATGGCCGGATCGTGAAGCTCACTACGTTCAGAGCCAAGACTAAGACTGCATAGAGCTAGGCCTGTAATTACCCTCGTGCCTTCGTGCTGTGATGCTTAACTAAGCACACGGAGGGAGACTTCACCTTTACTTCAGGTAATGACACATCTTCGGCGCAAAGAAAATATACTTTTGTTCCGCTGGTTCACGAGCTTTGTCAGCTATAAACTGTTTGTCATAACGGAAACATCACTGTTGTGTTACTTCCAGATTTCGTCTTGAGAGAAATTAAATGGCATGACCCACTACCATTTTTCTTGATAATTTAATGTCACAATCCTGAAGTACAGATTCTCCCTTAAAAACGAGGATTCGGGGTTCGCTTCCCAGCAGGGGCAAGGGATTCTCTTCTCAATCAAGTTCAGGGCAGCTCTTGAGTTCACCCAGCCTCTTATCGAGTGAGTAACAGGGGCTTCTTCCTCGAAAATAAATCGGACTGAACGCGAACGTGAAAAGTCTCCTTCGTCTGCTGCTAAGATTACCAATTCGTTTAATTATGCACAGGAGCGGCTTTCATTTGGATGTAACTTACACAGATATTGATGCGGCAAGTAATAGAAATGAACTTTGCACTCTCTGGCACCTTGTTTGAATACGACTTTGCTAGTCATGAACAAAAAACAAAGAAAATAAACTCCGTGGCTTTAGTCCGCGAGCGAACTATACCGACCGAGCGACCGTAGCTTGTCGGCGAAATTAGTGCCAAATTTAGCGGGTGGAGAATGTCGTNACCTGTACACAAACACAAAAAACGCACACAAACATCCATGCCCTAAATGGGATTCGAACCAACGATCCCGGCTTCCGAGTNTGTGTTCAGCGCAACGAATCCCCACGGCAGTTAATTTCAGTTTTCTAGACCGGTGCCGCTACTTTTCCATTCAAGTAGCTTCTCAGTTATCCTCACGAGGCTGAGTGGACAACGCTCCAGACCCCACTGTTTCTCTGAGAAGCAGTGGGGTCTGGAGCGTCATACGTATGTGTCATTTCCTTGTAATCGAATTGATATAGTTATGAATTCGGAAGAAATGAAGAAACAGAGGAGAACATCTGAGAGACGGATAGAATTAAAGAGAGAGAAATATGAGGAAGAACGAAGGTAATGAAAACAATCAAGACACAAAGAGAAGAAGGCAGAAATATCAAATATTGATAAAAGGGCACATGTTTGCAGCAGTTCTACGCCCTCCTGCTGCTGAGTATGTTACTTGTCACTCATCTTTTCTCTTAGCTCCACTGGAATTACAGAAGAAGCCAGGTTAGTGAAAGTCAACTGATGTTTCGGAGGTACAGGACGCCATCATCTTCACGCTTGCTTCTTGCTTGGCTCATCCCTTGAGCCTAAAGATGGAGCCGATGTGTTCCTCTGTTTGCTTTCAGCGGACTGCAAGGAGTTTTATGTTCATAGCCACCGCTGTGAAACCTCAAATCCTACAACTAGGATTCCATCCTTCCCCCTTCTGAATGGAGGCGAATACAGAAGACATTTATGTAGAAGTCTGTCATGGCTGCTGATGATGGAATGAAGTAGAAGAAAACGTGTAGCAAAAATTAATAAACGTTTACACGGGGTACACTGGCAAATGGTCTTAAATTCTTTATGACCTGCACCGTGTAAGACAACGTACCTGAAATTTGCGTTCAAGGAAGATAATATTGCACTTAAATATAGCATTGCATAGCGGGTAGGGCGATGTTCCACAGTTTTTGAATAGGAACCCCATGTCTTTACGAGTTACGAGCTTCAACAGTTCATCTAACGTATTGCTTGCCGAACACAGTGGTCGCGCGGTCGAAGGCATGAGCTGTTTTCGCCCTCTCGAACGCTGGGTTCGTCGGTTCGAGGGTTCGAATCTGTTTGAGTTTATTCTG